AAAAAATTTTTTTTCTTTTTTCTTTCTTTTTTTTTCCATTTTAAACAAAGCTGATGTTCCGTAAGTTATTCCTTCTTTTTAAACCCATAAATTTCTAGGAATCTAATAAAAAAGTTTGTTTGCGATATGTAATAAAAAAAGCGAAGAAGAATAATTCTATTGTTACGTCTCAAATAAAGCTCATCTGATATAGTCTTAACGGTTTAGCTCTAAATAAGTTTGAAGTTTTACTACTTGTGCTTAGTTAAAGCAATTCACTCAGCTTGAAAACATTGTCAGTTTTTCGAAAAACAAAATTTAGGGATTTACTTTTTGTTAATTCTTCTTCTTAATTGTGCTTATGATAATAATTTTTAATGTTACTATCTCCGACGAGTTTGTAAAATAATTAGACTCAAGCTTTCTACTGGGTATTTATTGCAATTTTGTGCAGTTTTGCTCGCTGCTTTCACTTCAATCTTGTTCTGACTTTATCACAGCCGAATTTATTTGCATCTTAAAGCTTCCTCTCTTGATTTATCTTGGTCCAAATTAAAGAAAGGTTGTAGCACAGAGTTTGAGTATTTTTTCTGATACGATTATAGTGTCATTATTTTTCTGTAGGATCAACTGAAAGGTAAGGATTTGGCACACGCTCTTTGTGATTTTCCCTATTACTCGTCTTTGGATGCTTCAGCCGTTTCGGCGAGTCTTCGTCCGATCAGGGATTCTTCTGGTAACTAATTGTCACTCTCTGAAATTTTCTTACCATTGAAAGATATCAACTTTTTTCTCTTGTATACGATTTGAAGTTGTGTGATAAGCTTTGAATAGTTTACAGCGTTGATGGGACTGACTGACACGTTTTACTTAATTTTCCTAACCTGCCTCGAAATAGTAAAATTGACGTTTAAGGAAGGAAAAGAGTTCTTTATCTTTTCAAAGTCTTGGAAATGTTATTGAGTGGAGCGTTGTAATTTTAGTTTTAAATTTCTTTCAGGTTTCATTTCAATACATTAACATCTTTAGTTAATGAACTGCAGTCTCGTATAATTAATTATAAAGTTTATTTCGCTAAAACCTTATTTATTTTAAAAAACTTTTGGAAGTTTTTTTATTTAGTGCCTGAATTTAGTTTTGGGTAGTTTTCTCAATATAAGGGAAGCTTTTTTATCGGTTTTGATATATCATTTGTTTTAGATGGAGCATTCAAAAAAGTCAAGACAGAAAGTAGTTCTTCAGTATTTGCAAACTCTTTATCTTCAAATACGCCACAAGTTCCGGCCAGGTTTATATTTTATTAGCCATTTTTGAAAGCACTTTTCTGGATTTGTTTTTTACATTGTGTTGTTTGCTAAATTTATAGTGGGCACAAAATATCAGCTTGCTATGGAACTTCTCTTGTCAATTATTTACATAAGGCAAACGATATTCTATATAATCAGGAATTATTTCAGTGTCAGACGGCGACATCGAACTACGTTTACCCAGGAACAATTAGCTGAGCTTGACGCTGCATTCCAGAAGTCTCACTATCCGGACATTTATGTTAGGGAAGAACTGGCGAGAATCACTAAATTAAATGAAGCACGTATACAGGTTTGAATTCTTGGTCGATTCAACCTCAATTTCTAATTCACATTTTTTGATTGATTTGTTCGATATTTAGAAGTTTTTTCAGAAAGATAAAAATAGAATAGTAAAAAAAATTTTTTTTTTTATTTAAGAGTTACACAAGACTTAAGAATGTAGCTAAAAGATCTAAAAAATATTTGAATCGAGGAATGACGGGGAAGAAGTCAAAGAAGAAATTACAAATTCATTGAGATAGCAGTAAAAAAAATTTCAGAATGAAAGCTTCAATTTTTTCGTCATTGAAAAATGTTGAACGGAAGAAGGCAGTGAGAAAAAGGGTATATCGAAAAAAAATAAAATAAAAAAAAAAATCAGAGAGATGATCTAAAGTGTGCTTTGAAAAAATAGTGAATAAACAAGCAAAATAACAAGGGGACAGATCGTCTTCAGAAGGCGGTCCTCGACAGCACTGAGAACGCACTGTGCATATCTGTTAGGTGTTTTAAGACAATAGCCTATGTTGCGAATAGTTCGTCAGAGTTCATCTTGGGTCACTCCAACCTAATTGTCTTTTAATTTAACTGACATCTGTAGTAATTGTGTTTACTGAAATGCAATTCAGTTTTGACTTCTGGCCTATACTTTTGTCTATAATTATCAGATTCTTGAGATGGGCTCATCCTCAGTAATTAGCTTAGTCAACTTTACCGGATCAGCAGGGGGGATAGTTGTCTTGTTGCAACGTTTGCTGTCGCCAAAAACAGCAGCAGCCATCTGCGCCGTGATCAGGCTTGATCTCAGCAATTACATCAGCTTATCTATGAAAACAGAATAAAAAAAAGTGTGAATTCAATAGCATTGTGTTTCTGTAGTCAACTGAAATGGTGTTATCTTTCTTTTATTATAAAATCTCAAACATTGGCTAACAATTTTGACGCAATTTGTTTGATAGTTTAGAACATCTTAAAAGACAAAGAATGAAGGGTTTGTTGTGTGACATATTCCTTAAATTTTGATAACGTTTTTTCGACAATGATAAACTTCCCAAACACATGTTTGAGTAGAAGAAAAAGCAGAACAAATATTGTCAAAATTATTAGTGGTACTAACATTTTTGTCGGCTAAAGTTCATATATATTTAAACAAGATATTTTATTTGCTACAGTTGCTCCTTTTTCGTTTCTTTTTTTTTTCTGCTTCTCGTTTCATTTCAATTCTTTTTTTTGCTATTTTACAAGTTTTTGATACTTTAAACGATTACTGTAGTAGGTGACAGTATCATTATCAAAAAAAA